ACATTATTATCGGCATGGTATCGGTATCGCCTGATAATAATGTTAAATTTCAATATCGGACATCGGCCATTCCATTAAAATAACTTGCCGATATAAAAGGCGCTGTTTTTGACTGCAGGGGCAGCACAACGCGATGACGTCACATGTGTCTACCAGAATCAGTGTTGCCAGGTGTACGATAATTATCGTATTTGTACGAAAATTTTGCCCTCTGTACGATGTACGATCAATAACCCAAAAAAGGCCAAATATACAATAATTTGACCATTCCGTGAATGTGTGGTTATAATCGGTTGTCATCAGCCTGTCGCAACTGTCTGTCGGAGTTTTTTTGTGAACCCTGAAGGCATCTGTTTCCACAAACAGATACACGATTGGCTGGATATTCCAGCCAATCGTGCTTTTCTAAATGTTACCTACGAGTGACGTGTTTGCGTTTGCCTCAGAATAAGGGCCACGATTGGATGAATAGTTCGCTGCGCCCGCCCCATGAGTGAGGAAAAGAAAAAAAGAAGAAGCAGAGCTGGTCTGGAAGCGGACCCATCACTACTATAGTGCATTAATAGATTTACTATTTTGGTTATGACAGGTGTACGATAATTTCCCACAAAATACGATAATTTTATGTCTCTAGTACGATAATCCTACATTTCTCACCTGGCAACACTGACCAGAACTCACGGCAGAGAGGACAATTCAAAATGTCGGCGGTGTGGAAGTTTTATTTTTTGTTGGTGAGGATGTCGGATTCTCAAGATTTATGGACTACATTGAGCCTCGCTACATCGTCCGCAGTCGGAGATATTTTTCCGATATAACCTTACCCAAGTTACAAGCCGTCATTTCCGACACCACTGAGAAGCTAATAGCCGATAGCACAACTTGTTGGGTAAATTTTATCACAGACATTTGGACGTCGTGTTAGCCCCGATAGCATGATTAGTCTTACGGCACAATGGGTAGACAAAATATTTGAACTTAAAAAGGCTGTCCTTCATGCACAGGAGTGCAGAGGATCCCACACTGCAGCTAGAAACCTGGAACAAGCCTCCACAAGTGA